TTCCGCAGCCAGGTATTTACAGAGGCGAGCAAATAGTTGGCGAGGCCTTCTCGCTTCTCTCGTGACTACTGTTTTCAGCTCGTGGTCGACTTCGATCGACCTTTGATCGATCGTGAATGCACGTTTAATCGAGCGTGCATGAGTCGCACGGCCATGCACGCTCGCCCTACCTGCTCGCCCTACCTGCCTCCCTGCCTTCCACCCCACGACGAGGATATACCTCTTCTCTCTTTTTTTTTATCCCTCTCCTTCTCGCCCCATCCTTTCTCGCCCTCCCCCTCGCTCCTTGCTGCTGCCTTCCTTCTGCTGCCTTCCGTCCCTCTCCCACCTCCGGCATACGGGATACGGGCTTTATTGGTTTTCCTTTTTCTTCCTTTCATTCTTTCGCAAGTTTTTCTCGCTGACCGATGTTTCGCTTCGATCAATGGATTCTTTTGTTGTTGGGAGAGAGACTGTGAAGGGGGAGGACGGGGGAAATTTCGATGGGGAAGGGGTTGAAAGAATCGAGAGTTTCTCGGTTTTGATGGAGAAATTGGGTATTAAACGGTTTAAAAAAGAGAGATTCTGAGCAAAGCTCAGATAAAGTTATTTCCATTTGTGTTTTTGTTAACTTAATCGTTTATTCGTTATTTTTTTTTTTTTCTACTTTGAAATTATGCTGGCACAATTCATTTTATATGATCATAAGATTGTAAGATTCATTTTAATTTGTTTCCTTTCTTTTTGTCATAATTGCGACATTGTAGGAAAAACAATCGATACAATTGTCCTCCATTCGTTAAAAATCGTTCTTACCTCTGTCTGAAATTTCGATCATTGAAAATTCGATCGAGAATTCGATAGCCAAAGAGAGGATCACCGTCGAGGAAGTATGGCCGCCGCAGGTGTAACCGATGATCGTAAACGATTTTGAGACAGTCTGGACGTCGATAGCTCGGGGCAACGGTTAAACGGGGCTGTGCTTTTTTAAAAACGAAACACTACGAGCCCGATGTCGGCTCGAACACTCTTCGGAATCGCGTTTGAATAGCTAATGTTGCGTGAGAGATGGAACGGCGCCGAACCTGGTCCATCACTGTTCTTCCTCGACGGTCAGTCGTCTATTTCGCTGGAAACGAATATGCGTGAATGCGTTCCGTTAATCGACGAGACAGTTTCATCGAAGTGGGATGAATAAGAATGGGATGATAAGAATGGAATGGTGAAGTTTAAAAAGGTAAACAGATATTGGAAATAATGCGAAATAAGTTGAAGCGATTCTCGTCAAATGGAATTAAAGTTTTGCTGATCAATTTTATCGTTGAAAAAAAAATTTTGCCATGTACTCATTACACGTATCATTCCTTATTTATATGTATTTATTGTGTAAAAAAGCAATGCTATCATTATAATCCTATTAAATCCTTCTCAAACCTACCATTTCAATCCTAAAATCTGTTCTTATCAAGTTGCTGTCGCAAGACCTACCAACCTTTAATGTGTACCTTTCTACGTAAATATATCAAACATCGGGATTATAATTGTATTCCTGAAAATGAATGCATACACATTGCTCGTCTTATTTTTTTCCACAATAGTATAATTTGCTCAGAAATAGCGAAACTCTAAAATCCATCCATTAAAAATTTCTAAATTAAATTAATCAAAATTAATACATTCATAAAATATTAGACCAAATATTTCACAAATACATTGACGCTTCAAGAATAAAAAAAAAGTCCAAAATTAAAAAAAAAAAAAACAAAAGAATAATAATAATAAACGAAAATAACGCAACGTAATGAAGTAACATAATAACACAACAGTGTACGTAAGTGCAAACTAATTTCCCCCCGGTGCAGTAATTTCTTCCGACTCACGGTCCACCGGTAATAAGGATAATAACGACGCTGTCGGTAACACACCTAACGCGGTGTAACGTTATAATAAAACGCATATACGCAACACGCGTAACGTGCGCCTCTTTCCTCGGAACATTTCGTAACTGGAGCAAACGGCTCTCTCCTTTCGCCTCCTTAGAAAAAGAAGACGAAGACGAGGAAGAAGAAGACGAAGAAGAACAAGAAGAAGAAGAAGAAGAAGAAGAAGAGGAAAAAATCGATCGCGGCTTAGAGATAGGAGAAGCGGCGAAAATAGCGTAAGCGAACGAAACGGGTCCCCCATTTGCGGCCCCTTGGAGCGGGCTATCGGCGTG